AATCTCTTATTCCATTTTCGAAGAGATTGTTTCGGGACATATAAAGACCTATTCAACTTGCACACATAATCTTCCTTTCCCTTTTCTTCATACCCCTAAGGTTGCCTCATCACGATTGTTTCATCTAGATCACTATACAGGAAGGTTGTCGTCACATCCATTTATTCAAGCTCTAGGTAGAACTTTGCCATCATGGCTAACAACATTCTAATAGATCTATGGTTTACAATAGATAAGAACAGATCATTGAATTTGACACCTTCTTTCTGAGTTAACCCCATAGCGACCAACCTTTCCTTAAATCGCTTCGACATCACTCATTTAGTTCCTTCCTTAACCTTGACAATCCATTTACAGTTGACTAACATGTCCCCCACAGGTTTCTCAATCAACTCCCAAGTATTATTATCATGAAGATATTTCATCTCATCATCCATGGCTTTCAACCATTTAGTCTTGCCTTGACTCCTCATAACTTCCTTATAGTATCTAGGTTCTTCATCCAGAACCTCACTTGCAGAGATTAAGGCGTATGCTATAAGATATACATAACCAAGTCTTAAAGGTGGCTTAATGACTCATCTCGACCTATCTCTTGTCAGTTGATAGTCATTATCAGTCTCCTCATCACCAACTCGTGTTTTCTCTTCGACTTCACCTGGGTTATGCAATTTAGCATCATTATGCTTTACCTCAACAGGAATCTCTTCCTATTCCAACTCTTCTCCAGAGATTTTGTTACTTCGACCAAAACCATAAGTTTTCTTGAAGTCCATCTTAGCTTCATTGAGAACTACATCCCGACTTGTGTTACACCTCATGCGACCTAGCTTTAGGTACCACAATCTATAAACTTTTACTCCTTCAGGATATCCAAGGAACATACATCTCGGAGCTCTAGGTTCAACCTTGTCTTTCCTAATGTGAGCATAGACTAAACAACCAAATACTCTAAGTTTGTCGAGACTAGGTGGATGTCCCAACTAGACTTCTTCAGGTGTATTCATTTCCAAGGTAGTCGAGGGACATCTATTTATTAGGTATGACGCAGTCACATCAGCTTCTGCCTAAAATACCTTCTTTAATCTCACACTAACCAACATGCATCTAACCATTTCCATAATGGTTTGATTAAACCTTTCATCCAAACTATTTTTTTGGGGAGCACCTGTAATAGTTATGTGCCTTGCAATACCAGATGCAACGCAATAGCTGTCAAAAGCCTCATTGCAAAATTCAAGACCATTATTGGTCCTCAACCTCTTGGCCTTTTTGCCAGTTTGATTTTTGACAAGAGTCTTCCCACTTTTAAAATTTTCATAAGTTACATACTTAGTCTTTTGGATGAATATCTATAACTTTATGGAATAATCATTAACTATGGAGAGGAAATACTTTGCACCTGAGTGTGAAGGATTCCTCACATGCCCCCAAAGGTCAGCATGAATGTAATCAAGGGATCCATGCGTTATTTGTTGACCATTATTAAACTTCACTGTATAAGATTTACTAAATACACAAGGTTCACAAAACTCTAAATTTTTTACCTTGTCACTGTACAGTAGATTTTTTTCGACAATTCGACCAGACCTCTTTCACTAACACGGCTAAGTCTCTTGTGTCATAGCTCAGTCTTCGATACATATTTTCTGGATGCCACATCTGTTAAACCACTTACAACCTCAACCTCAACCTCAACGGTATACAAGCCTTGTTTCTTCGCGTCTCTCAAGACTTCCTCGACCCCTTCATTACCCTTAGGATACTCTGCTCTCCTTTGAAAATATATCCTTTATTTTAGAATTCACCAAGAGAAATTTGATTCCTCTTAAGATCAGATACATACCTGATATCAGTCAATAGCCTTATTGACTCATCATGGAGCTTGAATCTAAAAGATCCAATTCCTGCAATCTTGTAGGCTTTATTGTTTCTCAACTGCACCGATCCATCATCTTGATCAAATAATTCCTCAAACACGTCTTTGTTTGGAGTCATGTGCCAAGTACAACCTGAATCCATAATCCACTCCTTGCTAGAGTCGTTGCTTAAAACCACTGGAATATCAGATGATTCATAACCATCTTGCATAATCGCCACATTACCATTATCCTTTCCACCATGATTATTTAGTCGATCAGGATACACCTTTATTGTATGACCCTCATTCTTACAATGATAATACATAATTGTAGGAGCATTACCACCATAAGAATTCTTTATAACTTTACCCTTATTCTTCTCACACCTACAATCTTTCTTCAAGAATTTCCCTTTAACGGACAAACCTTCACTAACAAAAGATAGATTGTGCTCTTTTCTTTCAATCAAGTCCTTAGAGTATAAGGCTGGTTGAACTTCTCCAAAGGTAAACGAATCTCTTCCATATAAGAGAGTTTTTTTGAAGTGAGCATGAGACTTAGGTAAAACAAACAACAACAACAATGTTTGATCTTCATCATTAATCTTGACCTAAATATTTTTAAGATTAAGAATCAACTTGTTAAACATATCCACCTGCTCAGCCAAGAATTTGTCTTCACTTATATTGAATGAATACAAGACTTGCTTCAGGTAGAGGCGATTGACCAACAATTTCATCATGTACAAACCTTTGAGTTTTTCCACACATTTGTTCCTTTCTTCTCCTTCGAGACCTGCCAAAGAACCTTATCACCAAGGCTCAATACCATGACACTGTGGGCTTTCTCGATCATCACCTTCTTCTCTTTCTCAGTTAAGGTAACATCCATCTTCTTTGCCCTTTCAATGTTTCTAACAAACCCTGCTGAGCTAGTAGAGCTTGCATCTCTAAGCACCACAAAACAAAATCATTCACACAGATGAATTTCTCAATCTCATACTTTGTAGATGACATCTTCTCCTCCACGCTCACCCCACCAGTTTGTTGTTAATCAATGTCATCGAAACTAAATCAAAATATGATAAAGATTGAGTTTCTTGAACAAACACAAGAAACCCTATTAGGTTTTACGAAAGAAAGAGAAGAAGGAAGAAGAAGAATTGAAATTGGTTAAAACTGCTTTACTATTCACTTACTCAATAAGAGTTCAAAGATTACGAGTAAATAACAATAATTAACCTCTCTCTCAATAACCTAAGAGAACTAGTCTATTTATAGACTACTAAACTAACTTAACAATTAGACTTACAAGCAAGACCCAATTCGAGATGCTAATAATCCTAGCATTTCAACTACTGCATACTTCAACATATTTCGACTACAACATACATGATCAACATGTGAATAGACTTTGAATACATGTTAAACCTTTGTCGAACCATGAAGTTATCCCCATCGAGACTAGAGTTTGATCCAAAATACCATAGCTCTAAAGCAAGTGGTGAAAGAAACCATTAAAATTCAGACGGATTTCTTGTGGAATGGTTGTTTATAGAAGAAAAGGATGTGTTGGGTGAGTTAGAATGATGTTTGCAGACCAAGAAAAGATGGAGAATTAGGTATCATGGATGTGGAAACTTTTAACTTGGCTCTCATTTGCAAATGGAGATGGAGATGTTATAAAAATAAAGAAGTCATTTAGAGAGGTATTCCTAATCATAGATATGTCAAGTTGGAATCTTCAATGCTTGGGGTGGAGAGGCTAGAAAGATAAAGCAAGACTCTTTTGGTTGAAGGATATTAATTCCCTTGGTGTGCAAGATGAAGAGACATTGAACTGGTTTAGAAATAGAGTTTCTTGTATTGTAGGTTCAGGTAACTCAATTATGTTTTGGAAGCACAAGTGATTGAGGTCAAAACCACTGATGGCTTATGGGCTATAAGACAAGAAATGAGGTACAATTCGAGAAATGGGCTTATTCTTGGAAAGTGATTGAAAGTGAAATCTTCACATTTTTAGATATAACATTCAAGAGGAGGCAAACGTTGAATTATATGCCATGTTGGTGATCAGGATTGATGTTGATTTGTTGTATAATGCAGACGACAATCTTGTTTGGTTGCATGGAGTTAATGGATCTTATTCAGTTAGGTCCGGATACAAGTTGGCGACAGGGCAGGGAGTTGGTGATACTCTGGATCAAAATAGAACTCGTGTTCTTCATTTCATAATCTTTGGTATACCAAGATCCCTTTCAAGATTCAAGTTTTCGAGTGGAGGTTGATTTTAAAAAGGATGCCAGCAAAAGACCAATTGAATTTGATGGAAATAATCCCGAATGATCATATCAAAACTTGTGTTTTTTCTTTATGGAGGAAGAAGATCTTAACTATTTGTTTTTTTAGTGCCCTTTCCCCATCAAGATTTAGGGTTGAATTCTAGAATGGCTTTACAGAGAAGGAGAAGGTAACCAAGTGTTGGAGGGGCAAACGCATCACAAGTGGTTCTCTAGTCTCATAAGGGTAGAGTGTCAATCAACAAGAAATTTGTCATTTGATTTGCAATTTGCCTAAGCATTTTGAACATGAGAAACAATATCCACTTTAGAGGAGACATTTGTTATGCTAGAGAGTTGGAAAAGATTATGAGTGAAAATTAAGTTTGAAAAGATTGTGAGTTTGAAAATTAAGTTATTTTAAATTAAAAAAAAGAAGAAGATGAAGTTCCCCTTAATTTTGACAACTCCACTTAACTTATTAACATCAAACATAGTAGGTTAATATTTTTTTCTTACCATACTTATTAAAATAGAAGAGAGAAAGAGAAAAAGATCCATTAGAACAGTAACTCTCTTGTACCGATGAATTTCAAAAAAAATTTACAACACTTTTCATTATTACTACTAGTATTATTCATTAATTAACCCTTCCCCGCACGGTCTTAATCATCATCAACCTTTCATCTCCGACCCCACACCATGCCATCCACCTTCAACCTCTCTCTCCTCCTCCTCCTCCTCATCATGCAGTTTCTTCATCTATCCATTTTCATCTATACACCGTTGCGCATAATGTCTTATTTTTTCCTATTCGCACCTCTCAAATCAAACTCATGAACCCCATTTCTTCTTCCCTGTTAATTCCACTCTTCCGAACAATACCATTGAAGCGTCGGTGGTTGTTCATCGGAAAAGAAATTACAAGTCTCGTCAGCACTAAGAAAATTATGCTCTTCCATTTTCACATACTGTGTCTGATACTCATTCTGAAACTGAAAACAATTACTCATCGAAGATGGCGAAGAAGACGAAGAACCATCCAACTTCAACGAAGAGGATCCATTAGACATCAAAAAGCTTTGATTTTGAAGAACCCCGGATGAAGAAATCGCAGCTTTGGGACTGTTATTGTTTTCTTCGTTCAAAATTGCGCTTGAGTCGCTATCTGAAGAACCGTCTTTCAAATCCATAGGTAACAGAGAAGCTACTACATCACTGTTTTTGTAACAGTCGTAATTGATGTCCTTAGAATCGGATCTAAGAATGGCGGGTTCATCGGAAGCAATGTTTTCGGTGTCTTGCAATGTTATCAACTCTTCTTTTACACAAACATCACTTTCTGTTGTTGTGTTTTCTTCTTCCAATTGTAATCTTGATTTCAATTCCTTAACCTGCCAAAATAAGGACAATCACTTTCTTTAATATATTGTTGATGCGGTAAATTTAACTACTAGAATAGAAATGTATTATGAACAAAAATTCTTTAATTTTATTAGTTCTATGATGATGAGTAAGTACCTCTTTGAGTAAGGTTTCATTATCACGTTGAAGTGACTCGTAATTAACCTTAAGTGAATCAAAACTAGCTTTAAGAACTCCATAATCTCTTTCCAATTGTTTGGTTTTCCATCTAGCACGACGGTTTTGAAACCAAACCGCAACTTGTCTTGGTTGCAAACCAAGTTCTTGAGCAAGCTTCACTTTCCTATCTGGTTCAAGCTTGTTTTCAACTTCAAAATTCTTCTCCAAAGCCTTCACTTGATCCACACTCAGTCTTCGTTTCTTCTGTCCTACTTCTTCAACACATCCTTCTTCCTCAAGTCCTTCCAACATCGACTGAAATTCCCTTCCATACACGTTGTTGTTGTTGCTGTTGTTGTTCCTCGGACTATGTTCCTCTGCGTAAATCAAAATAAAATCAAACATAAGTACAAAGTAATAGCTATTACTAAGCTTTAAAGGTAAAATAAAAACAATTAATTACGTAATTAACCTGTTTGTGGACAGATTGTGATGAGAGCACCTAAAGAATCGGAGCTGGAAAGTCTCTTCATGAGTACACTTAAATAGTAAAAGATTAAGGTTGTTAAATATGATTAGTGAAAATTGAGATCTGAAGAGAAGACAAAGGTTTTGTTTTGTTTTGTTTTACTTAAATGGAGAGTTTAGGGTATCTTAAACAACGCCAATTAGCACAATTGTTTAAGCAATGAGTACTAAACAAAAACAACCATTTATCACTATTAATAACTTCCATGTGTCTATCTTTGTTTTTTCTCACCTCTTCACCCATCAAACAACTCCAATACAACACAAAACAAACAAATTGAAGTAGAGACCAATCACTATGTTTTTTCAGACACCGCTGTTTTTTTTTAAAATTGTTCTACATGATTATACTGTCAAAATTGTATAGGTCGAGAGAGAAAGAGAGAAGGTGGAGAAGAGAAGAAAAATAGAGAGAGATTGGTTTGTGTTTTGTTGAGTTTGATGGTGAAGGGGTTCACGGGCAAGGTTAGTTATTGTGAGAGTGTGAGTATAAATAAACCCAACCTGGGTTAGAATTTAACTAGGGTTAGGTGACTGCTACTATGGTTGGCTTGGATAGGATATCAAATGTAATGTACCTCAAATTAAACTCAAATGCAATTTTATTGGGTTTTCGTCCGTTTGTTAAAGGAACACGCATTTGTATGCAACCGGCGTGGCTTTCGCCAGCTGGGATAAGCCGTTTGAGCCGACTAAATATTTGTGTTTCGTCAGGGTTTTACTGTCATAATAACTACCACGCGCTTCCCTAGCATATGGATAAATTTGTTAATACAACAACAATAATAATATAAATAATAATTTTCTTACAAAAAAATATTAATATAAAAATGTAATTATGTTTTTAGTTGATCAGCCATGTTAGATGGATACTAGTGTTTATTTGTTTATATAAATTTTTTTTTTCACTTTGAAACTTGCCATAAATAATAACGAATGGAGTGGAATAAGGCGAAGTAGAATGGAAAGGAATATAATGGAGCGCAATAGAATCAAGATGTTGTTCTATTATTTGAGTATTTCATGATGAAATATAGAGATTTTGTCATTCTAATCAAATTGGATGATTAAAAAAAATGATAAAAAGTGATGGAATGAGATTAAATGTATTTCATCTGGTTCTGCTCAATTTCATCCGTTTTTAATCAATCCAAATAATGAAACTTAAGTTTATACAATTTCATTTCACTCCATCAATCCAAACATTATTTTTTTACCAATATAACATACTTTTGCCTCAATATTATTCAATATAACCATCATTCCACCATATATATATATATATATATATATATATATATATATATATATATATATATATATATATATATATATATATATATATATATATATATATATATATATATATATATATATATATATATATATATATATATATATATATATATATATATATCCCAAAACAGATGACGCCAATGTGCGGAAAACCTCATTTGAAAAGTAGGTGGGAGTGCCAATAGGTGGATAACCACCTCTTATTGAGTTATTTATTTAATTTTTAATATGTATTATATTATATAATAATGTAGAATTAATAAATAATTTCATATACTAAAAATTATATTACATTCTCGACCAACATTGTACATTAATTTCTACGATTCGGTTGAAATAAATGTCTACCAGTTCCGCATCCTCGAGGTCATGTCTCTTGCTGCTCTCTGTGGCGGCGATGGTGGTTCCACAGGAGGTGTTTAATAGGAAATTGTTGCTGATGATTGTGTTGCATCGGTTTCAAGAAACTCGCGTATTTAGGCCCGTGAAGATGAACTCAAATTAGTAAAGTCGTCTAGATTGAAGGGGTTGTCCATGCCTTCGTAGTTTTGTTGAGGTGGTTAGCTTGATGAGGCAATGTTCATACGATAGTTGGGTTGATTGAATGGTGACATTGGTGTGAATGTTTGGGTGGATAAGGTTTGATGTGGTGTTTGGTACTTCTTGTTAATTTGTTATGCATTATTGTAGGAGTATGATTAGTAGGGTGGTCGGGTTTGTTGGTATTGAGACTGATAAAGACTTTATTGGAATGAGGGGAATTGATATGGGGTATGTTTATGGTATTATGGCTGTGTGAGTAGGGGTTGGGTAAAACGTGTTGCTGATTTTGAGTGTAAGTAGTTTGTTGGGTTGGGGTTGGATATTTGATGATGAAACTTATTGGCGTGGGTCAACCAAATATTTTGGATCAGACAAGAAACCAATGGTAATCAGTTTATACCAATTCATGCATTGGATAGTTGGTTTAGACTCGATTGATAACACAATGTCAATCAGGATTAAATGACGACGATGCTTCCATTCGCGACATTCAACTTTTGCATAGAATGTCCAATCGCGGTAGTCTCATTGGTTTGAGACTTTACTATCGTGGTATTAAGCAAAACATCTTGGGGGCGGGGGGGGGGGGGGGGGGGGGGGTGACTTGGAATTTCCTGGAGCATGCCAAATTGGAGTTTTACTGGATCACTGTGGTGCATCTCCACCGTAGTGAACATAATAATCGGTGTTTTTGCAGTTCACACGACAGCATCTTGTTGATTCACTTCATTCATGCCTTCTAACTCCAAATAAACTGTAGTAGAAAAAAAAATAAGTTTAGTATATGTTAAAAATATGGTAATGGCAAAGATAACTTAATTTTAAATAACCTGTAGGAAGATGGAAGGTATGCGTCTCGGGTCGCCACCTTTCTTGAAGAGTAAGAATAAACTTTGTATCCACGGAATATGTATTAAATTTAATGAGGTTCCCAAATCTGGTGCGCTCCAAATAAGGTTCAATTAATTCGTCATGTGCCACATAATTATGAACACGAGTTCGAAAATCATGAGGGTTCTAAGGAAAACAAAATGAAAATAAAATTAGTAAGATACTATATAATGAAAATATAATGAGCAAATATAATGAAGACAAAATTAGTAAGATACTTACATAAGAAGCAATGTTGTTGAATGTTCCTCTATGGTTTTCTCCCATTGAATTGGCGCAGACTTTATGCATGCAGTGCAATTTTTCAGAAGCATTAAATAGGGGTTGGCCTTGAATTGGCGCCTATGTGCATTATTTAAGAGGGGGTTGCCCTTACATTGGCGCCCTAGTGTATTATTTAAGAGGGGCTACCCAGCTATTGGCGCCCCTGTTAGAGAAAAGCAAGCACTTTCCGGAAGGATTGCCCGATGGCAAATGATTTTGACAGAGTATGATATCCAGTATGTTTCCCAAAAAGCCATCAAGGAGAGTGTTCTGTCAGAATATCTTGCTGAACAACCAATTGAAGACTATCAATCGATGAAGTTTGAATTTCCAAATGAAGACATTATGTTTCTGAAGATGAAAGACTGTGATGAACCTTTGCTTGACGAGAGTCCTGAGATTGGATCTCAGTGGAAGTTGGTTTTCGACGGTGCTGTTAACTCATATGGCAACAGAATCGGAGCAATCATTACAAATCCCCACGGCTCCCACATACCGTTCATTGTCTGGTTGATGTTCGCTTGCACTAATAATGAAGCAGAATATGAAGCGTGCATTATGGGTCTGGAAGAAGCCATTGATCCGAGGATCAAGGATCTTGATGTATATGGCGATTCAGCGCTGGTTGTTAATCAAATTAAAGGAGAATAGAAAACTCGTCAGGTCAGTTTGGTGCCATACAAGAATTATGCTAGAAGACTGCTACCTTTCTTTGATAGAGTTGAGTTTCATCATGTGCCTAGGGCTGAAAATTAGATGGTAGATGCGTTGTCTACACTATCATCAATGTATAAAGTGAATTTCTGGAATGAAGCTCCAGCAATCACCATCATGCGTCTTGACAGACCTGCCTTCATGTTTACAATTGAAAAGGCGTCAGATGGAAAGCCCTGGTATCATGATATCAAGCACTTTCTCAAGAATCAGGAGTACCCGTCTAGGGCATCTAGCAAGGATAAGAAGACTCTGAGGAGGCTTGCGGGCAATTTCTATCTAAACAAGGATGATGTGTTGTACAGAAGAAACTTCGACATGGTTTTGTTGAGTTATGTTGACGAACATGAAGCAAACCTGTTGATGGAAGAAGTTCATGAGGGTTATTTTGGTACTCATGCCGGTGGGCATGCAATGGCCAGAAAGTTGTTGAGAGCTAGGTATTATTGGATGACTATGGAGTCTGATTGTTTCAAATACGCCAGAAAGTGCCATAAATGCCAAATTTATGCTGATAAGGTGCATGTGCCACCGACACCTCTAAACGTGTTGACATTTCATTGGCCCTTTGCAATGTGGGACATTGATATGATTGGAAAGATTGAGCCGACTGCTTCCAATGGGCATCACTTCATTCTGGTTGCCATTGATTACTTTACAAAGTGGGTGGAAGCAACCTCGTTTGCTAATATAACAAGACAGGTAGTGGCCCGATTCATAAAGAAGGACATCATTTGTTGTTATGGAATCCTAGAGCGAATCATTACTAATAATGGTTCAAATTTGAATAACAAGATGATGAAGGAACTGTGCCAGAGTTTAAAGATTGAACATCACAATTCTTCTCCATACCGTCCGAAGATGAATGACGCTGTTGAGGCAACAAATAAGAACATTAAGAAGATTGTGCAGAAGATAGTGGTAACCTAAAAGGATTGGCATGAGATGTTTCCATTTCTCTACACGGTTATCGTACTTCGGTGCGTACATCAACCAGGGAAACTCCTTTCTCACTAGTGTATGGTACGGAAGCAGTCTTACCATTAGAAGTTGAGATTCCTTCTTTGAGAGTATTGGCTGATGTGAAGCTTGACGAAGCTGAATGGGTGCAAGCTAGGTTGAATCAGTTGAGTCTTATTGATGAGAAGAGATTGGTAGCCATTGGTCATGGCCGGTTGAACCAAAGCAGGATGAAGAAAGCCTTTGATCAGAAAGTGCGTCCTTGGTGCTTCTAGATAGGTGATTTGGTTTTGAAAAGGATCCTTCCTCCTCAGATAAATCACAGAGGCAAATGGAC